TAGAAAAACTGATGAGAAACACCCTACTGGGAATTCAGCCTACAACCAAGGTGCATGCTCTTGACTGGAATCAAACCCAGGATCCTTCAGTCTGTGGGCCGATGCTCTATCCATTGAGCCACACCAGTAAGGGCTAGAATTTAAATTACATCGTTTACATACGGTTTCAGAAATAAAGGTGATTTCAAAGTATCTAGAAATCGGGGAATAATTTAAAACTGTGGAACCATATCATTGCAATTACATTTAGAAATCAGGAAAACAACAGACACTGAATTATTAATCCTTTCTCTCTCTCATTATAAATGGTTATTGAGGATATAACTTTTATTGTTTTTGCCACATGACTTAAAATTTTCTAAATAAAATACAACTAAAAAATAGGTAAAACTTACTTCACATTGCTATAAAAATGTATCCTGTTTAGAACAACCTGGTATTATTGATGTAGATTTTTGGAAAACAAAATTGTTTTTAGTATAAAATATGTTAAGGTGTATGTGTCTTCTGTATTCTCTCATGTTCTGGGAGAGCACACCTCAGGTCTGGGAATGCTGTTCCGACCACGGTGCCAAGTCACGGGGAGGCCGCCAGCACCCAGAGGAGGGCAGGACCCGGGTTTGTTCCAAGCAGACAGACCAATCAACTACTTGGGACATGAAGCCTCGCAGATGCTGTGCTACCAGAGGTGATTGGAGTGGGAGACGGCGCTAGGAGACCCTTGTAGCAAGGCCAGAATAAGAGAATCACAAGGTGGACACCTAGGGTGTGGAGCAAAGACTTATCACAGGATGGAAACCACATACCATTTGCTAGAGCTGCTAGCATGCTATTGGGCCTCGGAAAAAGAGAACTGGCCATGCAGCCAAAGCTACTCCTCATGAGCTTCGTGGGACATGCCAAGTCTTAAGGTCGGGTGCTCCTGACAGAAATTCATCATCAAATGGAAGTGGTATCGGGAAATGGACATAAGGCACAACATGCTGGGCAAGCAGGTAGTCCAGCCCCCCATGTCATCCATCATTCTGGTGACTCAATCTCAGCTCATACCCAGGACTCCTTGGAGGTCTCCTACAAGCTGAGAGAGTAGAAAAATGTGGTTTGGTTCATAAGCGGGTTGTCTTAGTATGTGGTTGCAAGTCAAAATGGATGAAGGCTGCTCTGTAGCCACCTGTAGGGATGGTCCTGAAAACCAGCAGCAAGAAGATATCCTCTCCATGGGCAGATCCTCAGGCAGTGTACCTGGTCCTCCACTCTGTGTGCAAAGGGAAGGGGCCGAGGTAGCGACACCTGGAACATATGATGGTGGCTTGGTTGTATGGGTCCTGACATCAAAGCAAAAAGACTGGAAGATGAGGTACCAGGAAGTCTGGGGGAGAGGAATGTGGGTAAACTAATGGGAGAGGCATCACATGAAAAGACCTTGTTGTCACATTAATCCCTTTCAAAGAGCATCTCTGTCTGCAGGTAGAGGGGCTACACGGCCAAGTATGCAGTTACCTGTCCAGTAGACACTAGCCCGTATCTGTCATTGGCCACTCTCCTGTTGATCAAATGGATTGTACCCTGGCACAACCATAAACTGTGGGCTAACGTGAGCCTCCTATCCCCTAAGCTTGTTTATATGCGTACATCTATCCAATGAATTAGACCAGGTACATAGTAAAGACCCAGTAACTGTCAGCAATGATTATGATTCTCATTACCACTAGCTGGAGAAGGAAATACAAGGCAACAGGTCAATATCCACCCTGAACTTTGAATATCATAACCGTTACTATGAGCTGTGAGAAATTCCACTCCTCAGATTGTTTTCCAATGAAAGAGAAATATGCAAAATGCACATTAAATGTTCTTATTAATGTTATTTATATTTCCAAAATAATTTATACAATACTAGTATCAACTGATTTTGCACTGATTAAAAAAATTATTGTATGCCCAAATACTATGATAGTACATAGCTACTGAAAGTCAGCTTCTGACAAAACTTGTAAGGATAGATATTTAGTGAGAAAAATAGATTTCATTAAACAGAATTATACAAACTTAGTTTTAAAATATGCTTATATTAGAAAACATAAGGTACATAAATAGAAGAGCTTTGTACATGTCACATTACATTAGGGAATAAATGCCCATTTAAGCAATGTCTAAAGAAAAATTCTGTGAACTCAGAAAATGTCAAACTGATTATATAATTCAATTGTGAAAGTACACTGTGTGAAAATAATAATACCTGTGAAAACGCCACCGGAGCAGGTTGTTGAGGTGACTGTTCAGAAATCATATTGATCTCATATCCCACAACATCTCCTCGCGTAACATTATCGGCCGGCTTCTCCCAGGACACGTTGAGAGAGTGTGGTGAGAGGGGGGAGACTGAGGGAGGGGCCATGGATATAGGCTCTGTCAAGGGCAACAATGACAACAGTGAAACCATGAACGCTACACTCACAGGCTTTCCAAACTGAGTCCCGACGTTCATTCAAGTTTCTGAAATACCCTGTTTGTTTTTTATACATAATATTCCGGTTGTTAAAAATCAAAGAGTATACTGCTGCATATAAAAACTATTCATTTTTACCTGTTATCTGCAAGGATGTCCTCCAATTTCATATTACCAGCAAAGATGTTTTCCATTTATAAAATAAAAATAATCTAGGAGGTTGACTGTGTTCATAAAGCAAACTAGTAGATAATTAGGTGGGAAACCATAGGTCTTATAAAGTATTTGAAAAAAAAAAAAAAGAAGAACGTGTTCAATAAATCTTGATTGAAACATGCAGGGTACATACACACATACATTCTCCCCTTGCCATCCTTGAGATCTTAATGCGGATTTTAAATGTGCTAACCAAAGGTGTATTATCAAAGGACCTCATCACACTTTCATTAGCCAGTGACCCATAAGATTACGAGGGTCCGGTGATGCGGCTTCACCCATTACTTTTCATTTCTGACCTTGACTTTCCCCTTCCTGAACGCCATGGCTCATCACCTGTGCTATCTTGGCACTGTTATTTGTCCAAGATGGCTGGCACAATGCACATTTTATTCATGAAATGATTCCCTTGGACATCAACCTACAGCTACCCTTTAGTCTCCACAGTCCTAACAGGGTCCACGTTAAATCAGGACTCGGGTTTCTTCGGCTATCATGAATTAATTCAAAGCATAGCAGAAGTGTGTTTTTTTTTTTATTTTGTTAAAGACACATAACATGTGAAGTGTTTTTCATGTAAAGAGTAAAGTGGAGAAATAAAATATCTCATTTGCCTTAGGAAAGGTTTCTTTAAAAAATTTAAAAAGATTTTTAAAAAAATATATTTTATTGATTTTTTACAGAGAGGAAGGGAGAGGGATAGAGAGTTAGAAACATTGATGAGAGAGAAACATTGATCAGATTCCTCCTGCACACTCCCCACTGGGTATGTGCCCACAACCAAGGTACATGCCCTTGACCGGAATTGAGCCTGGGACCCTTGAGTCCACAGGCCGACGCTCTATCCACTGAGCCAAACCGTTTAGGGCTAAAAAGATTTTTCACCCTCCTTCTTTTCCGTATTGCCAACTACTCATTCAAGCACACTCGTGAATTACAAATTCTGAAATCCAGGATTCTGTCATTTGGTGCCATCTAGTAGCTCAACTATTTGCTTTGGAAAGAGAAACAGAACGGAAGCAGAGTTGTGAGGTCTGAAATGGGGATCTCCTGCATTGAATGTATGGCCAGCCCGCTTCAGGACTGGAAACCAACTGCTACTTTGCAAACATTCCCAAAAGGCTACTACTTTAGTTAAGTCATTTCCCCCCTCCCCTTGAAATAGTAACTAAAGCATTTCCCCCCTAAAACGTTTCAAGTTCTTTATGACTTTGAGTTATCCATGTAACCAGCGCTTTCCCTTGGCTTGTGTAAGTTGATAATTCTTACTCTAGTGCTGTGGACTTTAATTGGAGGCAATATTTTCATTCAGGAGTTTTAAAAGTAGAATTCCGAGCTTGACCTTCACCTGATTCTCCTGTCTGTCCTGAGGCCCAGGGGGAGGAGACGCTGCCGGCCATATTCCCAGCCCAGACTCTAAACTCATATGTGGTGTAAGGCTCCAAGCCAGGGATGGTTGTGGCTGCTGGAGGGGGTTTCAACGCATTTTCACTGGCCGACTCTGCCAACGGGCGAGGACTGAGCCAGCTGCTGCTCTCAAACACCCGACTTTCTGCTGACGCGGATTCTCCGTCAGATCTCAATCTTCGCATGTAGAGTTCATACCTTGCAATTATTCCTAGAAAAGAAAAACAGTAAGCCAAGATGACTCATCAGACAAACAGACTATTTGGGGGGTAGAGTGGAGTTAAATCAGTTAAAAACTATAACATTTTTCAGGGTGAATGGTTATAATTTCTACTAAGGATAGCTTTTTCTTTATGGAAATTTTATCAGCATACTTCAATTTATATATTTCAAATTGGAGATTTTAATTTGGCTATCTGTTTAACACAAGGCCTATAAATATTAGAATATGATAGTTGATTTCCACCTAGCTTTATAAAGTAATTTTAAAAGTCTAAGAGAAAAAAGGTTTTGCCATAATATGTATGTGATATTAAATTACTAAAAATCTATGAAAGTATGTCTGGCCTATATAACAGGGTTCAATTGTATGAACACAAAAATTAACTTAATGGAGTCAGCTAGCCTATATACATATTTTTTGTATTACTTTATATCCTTTTTTAGGCCTAAAAGAGAAAATTTACTGCTTAAGGGTGCCCTAACTCTGTGACACAGTCAAATATAATGCATTTTGTAAGTGAGTTTTAAATTAGAAACATAATTTGTGTTGTGGCAGATGTCATTAAGAGCAAAGATAATATCAGCCTTTTAAGGGGCAATTTAAATGAATGGAATTTATTATTAGATTAAAGAAATACACTCGTTCTACTAACCAGGACAAATAGTATCTTACATTGTTAGAGATTATTTCTCAATTATTCTATCGTGCAGTTATAAAAAAACGCATGGGATTGCCAGACTCTCTTGCACAATTCCAAATTCCTTAGATTCTCACTCAGGACTGGCCCAAGAAAGTGAAATCTAGGCCTGGAGTTCCTACCATTCGGTTCCATTGGCGGAGCCCACTCTACACGCAGTTTCGTGGAACTGATAGCCAGCACCGCAGGGGGACCCAGCCCTCCAGGAGGAGCCTGGGCTGTGGTCACGGTTACGGGCGAGCTGTGTAAACAGCCCCCACTGGTACAGGCCTGCACGGAAAAGCGGTACTTGGTGAAGGGAAGCAGATTCCAGATGGTCGCCGTGGTTCCGCCACCTTCATGGGGAACGCAGGGCTGGGTGTCATCGAAGGGAGCGCAGGACAGGAGATACTTCTCTATGGGGCCAGCGCGACTGGAGGCTGCTGTCCAGGTAAGCGTCACCGAGTCCGAGCCAACAGGGATGACATAACTTAAGTTCAAGGTTCCCTCTGGGACCCCCGGCCTTGTCCTGTAGGCGACAGCTGCACTCCTCGTGGAACCCTGCACACTGGAGGTCTCGACGGAATAGGAATAGGAGGTATATGGCGACAGGGCCGTGTCTAAGAAGTCCTGGATGTCTGAAATTAAAAGAAGAAAATGAGAAGAAAATAGTTACATTCCGCAAAACTGGCGAGGAAATCATTTCTACTGGTTCTCCTGTTATATGACTTAATGACAGGAGCTATACCAATCCACTCTGTATGAAGAACAGTTGGGCACCAGAAGGTTTTGTTGTTGTTTGGCTCATCCTCACACAGGGATATTCTCCCATTGGGTTTTAGAGAGAGTGGACGGAGGGGGAGAGACAGAGAGAAACATCCATGTGAGATAGACACACCAGACCCTGACCATGCTGGCACCCTGACCTTGGACCTCTGGCCTGGAGAGCCTCAAGTAATACATTTCTGCTGTTTATAAGCCACCTGGACTGTGGCATTTCTCTTTAATTGTAGCCTGGACGGACGAAGACAGTGAACATCTGAATGAAGGGTAAAGCTGCCGTTCTTCATATATGTCACTGCAAGTTCCGCATGAAAATATGTTGAGTACTGCACTGGTCCAATCAGGGCACAGAAGCCACGGAGTAATTTTGCTTTACTTCTCCATCTCCCCTCTCAATCATGAGAACTATCCTTTTCATCTTTGTGTTTCTAGTGGCTCATACAGTTCCTGGTCTGGCGTGAGCACTGAATAAAGGTTTACCGAATGAGTATATGAATGAATGGGTAATTTTCCATATACACTGATTTATTTTTCTAGGCAATAATATTAACAGCCCTAAAGAAACAATTGTTCTTTATTCTCTTTTTGTGTTCATATCCCTTCCCTATATTTTCTGTTTGTTTTTCTCAGAGGAACCATCTTATCACTTGTTGCTTTGATCCTCTGATGCAGTCTGGAATAATAAATTATGTGATATTAAAGGTGGACATGAAAACCTAGGTTTCACTAAGATACATCATTGTCTGAAACTCTAAACTTTCCATTATTGTCAAAGTAATCATGTTCTAGTTTCCCCGTGGAAGCGTTTACCTAGAGTAACATTTAAGGACTAGCTCCCTACCCATTCCAAATGAGAAATGATTTAACAGATTGTGAACTGGAGGGGAGGGAAGGGAGAGGCAAAGCATGCTCCCATCAGCCCATTGAGTCTTTTGTCTTTCTTCAGCACAGAAGGTATATTCTCCAATCTGGCTTTTATTGTAATAAAGATGATTTTTATTTTAAATTTCCATCACCCTGATTCTTAAGCCTAGTTCTCCTTCAGTTTCAAACCAAAGTTGGAAAAACTAATGCGATGTACTAGCCAGCCTAAAAATGTCAATACTATTAAAAGAGTGCAATATCCTGCAATAGCTTTTCTTGCCACATCTATGACACAGAAAATACCCATGTGCAACCCAGACTGGGGCTGCAGGGAGGTGATATTAGGTGCTAATTATGTATAATTACCAACATGCTAACTTGACTTCTACACCTCTCTCTTCCACTTATGAAAGCTCACAGGTATGCACATGAGTGAATTTTTATTTAGGGAAACCACTGACTATACCTTACCTTATCTTTTAAAAGTTAATTCAGAAACTTTAAAACTATCCCACTATTATTAGCATGCTATTACTAATAAGCAATGACCTGCAGGCTCTAAAAGTAGTAATATACCAGCTGTCATGACCTTAGGTTGGAAACTAGTGACCCCACAGTGTAACAGGGCAGCTAGGAAAAGTCTTATTCCAACAAGGAATTCTACAATGGTCTCAACCAAATGTTCAAACTTGCTTGGAAGAGATTATTAATTTTCTTTGAAAAGTTCAATGACTCTGCACCTGTAATTCCAAATTCCTTCATTTAACCCAAAGATCTGTGTTCATCTGACTGAATATAAGTACTGTTTCCTTTTCATATTACACATGCTAGCCACACACTGGGAACGGAATAATAAACACGAGAATATCGTTAAGTGATACAAAGTTCTGACAGCCCTAACCAATTGTTCTTACTGTTCAAATGCCATCATGCAGATAATTGTCCCATCATTAATTATAGTGGCTGTCAAGAAATGCCAGAAGTGGCATTTTTTTAATGAAAAAAATAAGGTTTTAGGAAAGAATACCTTGTATAATAGGATTATATAAATGTCTGATTAGTGAATGAGCACACATTTATTATGTAAGAAACTGTTATTTGGATTCTACTATAATAGTGCAATCATGGAAAAGAGCCAGAGTGTTTTACTCAAATGCAGTGTTCTATAAAACACATCACAATATTTTATGGTGAAAAATATGCCTCTGGACAGAATGCTGTAAGCGAAGTTTAATATCATTACTGAATGAAGCTGTATGGGAAACTGGGTGACCCTAATTCACCACTTCAGCAATAGCTCAAGCAGCGGTACTGTCATCTTCAAAACCACTTTCAATATTTCTGTGACTCCCTCCTCCCCTATCAAAAAAGTTTAAGTTTCAGGACACCTGGGTCATGCTGATATTTGGAAGAAAACAAACATTCTAGTAGCAGGATATCAGGATGCTCTGCCAGTGTGGCAGATGTAGACAGATGTTCGCTTCCCTCTGCAATCTGCATCGTGAAGCTCAGGTTCCCATTAACTTCCAAGAAGGCTTGGAGTGCTGAACAGACAAGAGTTATCAGAAAGTCCGGCCGTTATAATGCAGGTGCAAGTCACTCAGAATTAGGTGTGACATGTAACCCGTGGTACTATATACGGAATAAAACCATACGCTATGCAAAACTTTTAAAGCCAATCAACGTGTTAAAAGAAGGCACCCTCGTGATCATTCTGAGGAAGATTATGGAACTATAGAATTTCTTCATTGCTCTGTAGACTTTTCTAACTAATTGTACACGTTAACCTAGACTTTGGAAAATTGGGCATTAAAGCAAGAGAACAACATGAGTTGCCATCCTGTTGCCATGTTTATTTTTTAAAAGTATTTTTTTATTGATTTGAGAGAGAGAGAGAAAGGGAGAGGGAGAGAGAAACATTGATGTGAGAGAAACATTGCTTGGCTGCCTCCTGCATGCCTCCCACCAGGGTTAGAGCGTACAACCTGGGCGTGTGTCCTGATCAGGAATCGAACCAGCAACCTGTAGGTACATGGGACAAGGCCCGACCAATTGAACTACACCAGCCAGGGCTCCTGTGTTTCTTAAACTAGTTTCTTAAACTGACTTGTAGCTAAATAAGACCAGGAGCAAATATCAGAGAAGATAGAACTGGAAGGAAGGAACAAACATTTTCTGTTTCTTCATTGTGTCTTTAGGGAAACTGTATCTCAAACATTGAGTGAGTATTTTCTAAAGACCATGTGTCTCCACAGCTTGATTTCCAAAGCTCCTTTGAAATCATCACACAAGTTAGAGACGCAAAGACAGTGTTTACGGTTTGTTCACATACTCCTCTTTCAATTTAAGATCATGTTGTGTTCCATCCACTTTTAACCTGAGGATTTTAAAAATTGAATTCATATTATAGAAATATTTGATACATTTTCTCTAATCCTTACACCCAGAGAAAACTAAACATCAGTTTGTGGTAAGTCTTTCAGTCATTTTATATACTTTTGAATTAAAACATAACTCATAGATTATTTTTAAAAACCACTTAATTACCTTAAACACTACATCTTGAACATTTTCCATTCATTAATATGTAAACTAAGATTTTTTTTTAAAGGCAATCATATCCTACAATTTGCTTCACAATGTATCAGGAGTCATGTATGCCATGTACCATAATTTATTGAAAGATTTTTGAATGTCTGAATTTTCCAATATTTTGCTATTAGAGAATGGAGGTTTGAACGTATTTTGTGATGTTGAGTCCACTGATGACTATTTGTTGAAGACGAATTTCCTAAAATAAATTTGCTGAGTCAAACAGTATGCAAAGGATAAGGTTTTGCATTTACTTTAACAACTTATCCTGCATGAACAGTTGTACCCATGAGCCCACACAGATATGCCAGCAGTTAGTCTGGTTCTAGCTCTTTCTCATCCTTATCAATGCTGGCTGGCCTTTTTTCTTTTCATCTGTGAGAGTTTGGTAAGCATTAAGGGCTTAGCAAATATGAAGCATCTCATTTATTGCATTTCTTTACTAGTGAGGTGTATAATTCTCTCTGCTTAAAACAGTTTTCTAGAAAGAGGAAACCACATTTATCATCAACGTCAAAGAACCTAACTAATGTATCAACCCTCAGAATAGTGGATCTTTCCATCGCGGAATCTTTACACTCACCGTACGGGTATTGATCTTCAGTTGTGTAGATTTCAGACCCGTCCCTGAATAAACGGTAAGTAAGCCAGGGGGCACTGGGAGGATCCGGTGGGCTCCAGGAGAGATGGATGGCCGAAGAACTTTGAACTTGTCCTCTGGGTGGAGGTTGCTGGGACGGAGCTAAATGACAGTGGGGAGAGCATTTATTAGCAAAGGCGATCAATAAGCACACAAGTACACTGAAGGAAGAGACACACCAAAGAGGTCTTTCTGTCCCAGGATTACTTCATCAAGAAGACACGTGGTTGACCAAGACATTAATAAACAAAGGGTACAGATCATGAATTTCTAAAACAAAGCATTGTATCTGTAAGCATAGTACAGATCTGTTGGTCAGTGCGGCTTAACAGAAATATAATTGAGGGGGAAACCCCAACATTTTACAGTAAGCACTTTTTTGAGGAACTATCCAAGAATGCATCAACACTCATTTTCTATTTAATTAATTTAAATGATGACATAAATAAGATCCACTGACACTTGAAATTGAAGAAGCATGATGTTGAGGTTTCTGAAAAGGACGTTTTCCATCGCATTAAGCAAAATGCCTCATCTTGCTTCACAGAGCACAGTGTAAGGAAAGGATAATAGTTGGTCATACAAATAGCGATGGATGTTATGAATGCTAAACAGCCCAAACATTAGCAGGAAACAATCTGAATGTACCATGTGGATACGCCAGCACCTGTTAGGGGTGCCGGGATGGTAGAGCATACTGATGTCAGAGTGTTATAGAAAAACATTCAAGCGAGATACACTCTCACTCTTCCCCTTTAAGTCTTTGTTTCTCCTTTGGACTTTGCATTGTTCTATGAAAAGTCTAACTGTCCGTATGCCTATTAAGATAGAGGACAAGAGTAGTAACAATCTCAAAAGGACACATGAAAAGAGAATTATTTCTAAATACCTGATATTTTCAAATTCATGGATTCGCCGTAATTGATAAGGTCACTTTGATTGGCTGAACACTGACAGGACATTTGATGTTGCAGCGAGTTTTAATTTAGGGCTCTAAACCCTGTTGCTTGCAGCAGAATCACAAAGATCACAAACTGTCTCATTTACAGCACTCTCTGAGAGCCTTGCCAGCCATGGCAATTTAATATTTTTTTTTTTAGTGATTATTTGTAACTACATCTAAAACTCTGCATGTTATCAGGGGCTCACCAGATTGCAGGGTTAAAGCAATCAGCACTGACCTTCAGACCATTTTCGAAGACAGTGAAATACTTTCAGGATGACTGCAAGAGAGAGATGCTTCAGTCCCAGGTCAAAGGGTACTGAACGTAACTCACATTCCACGAAAACTTCCTTGGCAATACACACACACACACACACACACACACACACACACACTGATACACACACAGGGCTCCGCTGAATATTTAAAGTTGACTATAAGTTAGGACCACCTCTCCACTATCTCGTCCAGGTTTCGGTGTGAGTGAATAGTGCCTGTTTGGCATTTACGTGAGCATTTTCATAGACCAGAATGTTTAGATGGCCTCACCCTCTGGGGAATAAATATGAAATGCTGGGCAGGCGATAACTTGAGCCCATCCTTTCTGTGCTGAAAGTAGATTTCTGAGAAAATGAGCACATATTCATTCATCAAAATTGCCAGGAACGGCCTCTGCATGTGCCAGACGCTCCTTCAAGGTCGGAAGGCATGATGCTGTGGCCGCATCCATCAGTCTTGGTGCCACGAGCTTTAACCCTTTGCGGTCGTATTAAATTTGGACGTGGGTGTCGTCCTGGTCGGAATTAATTTCCATTGAAAGAGCAGTGATACAGAACATGCAAGATTATGAAGGATAAACAAGATTTATTAATTCTTTTTTGGAACTACGTCACTACTAGTAGAATCACTACAAACGTTATCACTTTCTACGTCAGAGTCAGTATTCAAGGTGCCAAAATAAAACTCTTCATCGTTACTTTCAGATTCGCAGTACACTTCTTTCGGTAACTTTCTCTTTGCCA